ATCTCAAACGTGTTATTTGTGTGACACTAATATCGCATCACTCTACCTGCTGTTTTGGTCAGTATTATTCTGCTGAAAGTCTATATGTGGGCAAGCCGGGGTAAAAAAAAAATCAGCTCCACTTGAATCGGTTGACCACAGAAGGGATTCCTCAGTGCCGTCCTGTGCCCAGACCAGGCAGAAGAACATCCCTCTGATGATTTATACAATAAGAAAATCATTTCTGAAGCTCCTTTCCCCTTGTCCTGGTGTGCGTTGCCTCTGCCCCTCCACCTTCTGTGTTGTTTGGCTGTAATTATATACCTTCGAGCTCTCTCTTTATGTGTTTAGTGGTCAAGTGGAACCATCCAATTGCAATATGGAGAGTAACAGACTAATTAGAAAAATACAGAAAACCAATAATCCTTTTTTTTTCAGTTGAATCAGTGCAGACTAAATCAATTTATTACTGGGTCATACGAAAAACATCTTTCTTTATTTCAGCTCCAGGTCATTTTTTTTTTCATTTTATGTAATGTCATTTTTTCCAAGTCAAGAAACCCAAAACAAACTAGCACTTAGGATGCTGCGGTTGGGAAGCGAATGTGTTTAGATCATGTAGTAATTAGCAATTAAGAAAGCGATCTGGGGAATTGTTCTATTTTTTGCTCAAATTATTAACCCTTAGCACTCATCAGATGAAACCAACAGCAACCTTGTGGGAGCCCAGTTGAGCTGGCAGATCACAATTTTTGTGCTTCATTTTTTGTGCCAAGTTCATCAAACAATAAAAGGATGACCTGTATGTTAGGAAATTACATATCATATTTGGCTTCCTTCTCCATAGAGTATTTTACTTATGTCAAACGCCTTTTTTTGCACAAAGAACGCTTTCATTGCAGTGAACTTTTGAACGTTGTTGTGGGCCTCAACTTTTGGTCTGCTGACGGTTCTTCATTTTTGACTCTCCTTTTAATTTCACTTTGTTAGACTTTCTTATCGCGCTCGCGAGCCAGCCGCCTTTGAACAAGAACCAGATATTTATCTTTTTCTCACTGAATCAAAATGAGAAGATTATTTCCAATCACTCGTTCGTCTTTCAGATCTAAACCTACCATAATGAGGCGTTTGTTTTGCTGATGTGAAAAAAAAATCATTCCCTTTGTCTCTTTTTCGTGTGCTATCATCTTACCCTGATAGTACTTTAAAAAATAAATTGTGTTCAACACATTTCATGTGTTTATTTTTACGAGGAGGTCTCCTACGTTGGGGATTCCCTAATGAATCACATAGGAGTGTGGGAGTGTGGTACAGCAGAAACCCCTTTCATGTCCTGTTTTTGTACTGTATTAACACATTGGTGAACTTGTTTTAGACAGTGAAATGGAATGTGGTAGGTGAAATTCATTTGCATGTGAAATGCCCACTAATAATAACAGGTGGGAAGGTGGGAATCCCCAAAAACATGTTGTAATTTTTCCTAAAATTTAAAATAGAAACTTACATTGCGTGTGTGAGTGTGTGTGTTTGTGCTTGCTATTTTCTGTGAAATAGAAGGCGAGCAGCTATCTTAAGAAGCTGTCTCCGGTGCAGATTTGTAGTTTCTTCGCCTTGGTTTAAAAGTGAAGAAATAAAAGATGATTTAAGAAATAAAACAAGAAATCTCAAATTAAGATGTTCAGAAATTTCTGCAAAAACAGTACTGAATAGATTTTGTTAAAATTAAAAAGTCACAAGGACTGGACAATTTCATCCTTGAGTGTGATTTAGTGTCTTGAACTCAACTTCAACTTAAGGGAAGCAGCACATTTCTGAGTCATATGCCAAGTTGTCTTGGATGTTTGTGTCTTTCCTTTAGAGTAGTAAAGTTAAAGGAAAAAGTCATGCTGATTCCATGGACTGACCATCATGCTGTTTGGAAGCAAAACCAAACTTTGGTTTTTCCCCTGATCTGCATCCTGTACATTGAACCCTGTGGTGCGTATCCCACTGGATTTGCCCAAGGAGAAACCCCTCACACTTTTAAATATTTCAAAACTTTCTGCTATTCCTCGTTTAACTAGGTCAAGGTACTGCATGCTGCTTATAGAGACTGGCTCTTCAGTCTCATTTCTAATGGCGTGCAACAGATCTGAGTTTCCCCAAACTCAGAACAAAAAAGGGATTTAAAAAAATAAAACAGAAACAGATCAAGCTGAAAAACAACCTCACATTAATGCCATGCCCTAGGATCAATATCCTAGAACATAAATAACTTTACCAGCTTTACAGAAGCTGGCAATACTGTTTACTGCAAGTGTAGTAGTTGGCTGCTTTATTCATAACATTGCATAATACCAGTTTCAAAATTCATTTTAAAACAGGCGATACATGCAAGAATGAAATACAAGACACACAAACTGATTTTGACATTCATTTTACATTTTAACATTTTACAACATTTTATTTTAGTTTCTCTGTTCCAAAATGCTAGATGCAAGTCAGCAAATATGGCTTGTGTCTGTAATTTTCTCTAATTTGAAACTTTTTATCCTGGGAGATCTTATGTTTTAGGTGACTCCAGTAAGCTGTACACTGATTTCTAGGAAAACAGGTGGACATTTTCTCTTCTCTTATAACAGTCTTTGTGACAGTTATATTACAGTACCTTACATTGACACAGTGTTTCTTTTTTTACTGCTGTCTAATGACTCTAGATAACTGAAACTGATGTTGATGAATACATGAGGAACTGACTCAGATCAGATGCATTGTACTACAGTAGTAACTGAGTAATTGAGAAACTTCAAGAGTCTGTAAAATGGTATAAAATGTTAACACTTGCTTTAAGTTTAGCTAAATACTTATTTTTACTTGTTTACTCGTATTTTATTTGAATTGAATATATATGTTTAAGTTTGCATTTATGTAAATCATTCATATTATTTTTTATGTATGGTTATGCATGGGTGGCATGGTGGTGCACTGGTTAGTCTTGTTTCCCCATAGCTCTGGGGCCCTGGGTTCGGTTCCAGACCCGGTGTGCTGTCTCCGTGCGTGCATTCTTCACTGCATGTTCTTCCCGTGTTCGTGTGGGTTTTTGGCCAGGTGCTCTGGTTTCCTCGCACAGTTCAAAGACACGGAACACTGGGAACACTTGCCCAGGTGTGTGCGTGCCCTGTGTTGGACTAGCATCCTGCCTTGCACCCGTAGCTTACCAGCATAGGCTCTGGCTCCACCGCAACCCTGCTTTGGAGAAAGCATTTAAAAAATGGATGGGTGTTCATGTGTATTGTGAAGATTCATAAGAATCTTAGTATTCTGGTCATTGAAATTCCCTTTCAGTAGTATGCTCATAAATGTGAGCATGGGCATTATTTTCCAGTTCACATTTGTTCCAGTTGCCAAAACAGTGGTTCTGTTCAAAAGAAAATAATTTAATGATACGTGATCTAAAGTGCCCCTAACAGTTTAAAAAACTGAATATTTTAGAGGCTGAAAACTGTGTACTTGGACTAAATTTTTTTTTGTAAAATGTCATTACCTTAAGCAATCAAAACCAAATTAAGTTTTGGGTTCTTCAGAAAGGGACTTTTTCACAGTAAATGTGGTATTGCACATTAAATACTTATGCGATCTATGTATGCTCTTAATCCGTATTTGCAATGTATGCACTTTTATCGCTTTCAACACAAGTGTGAAATATGCTGCTATAGAGTTCCATAGTGCACTTCTTGAAAGTACATCTTTGCTGTTGTTGACTGCAAAAGATGTGACTAAAGATTTTGTCTATAGCAAAAATTACCAAAATGTGAACTATGTTTGGAAATACTGTAGGCGAATGATAAGTTCAGTAAATTTATTTCTTCCCACTTATTGATTGTGGGTTTTAAATCAGAAACAAATAATAGCAGACCTTTTCGAATTTCCTGAAAATCGTGTGGTTTCTAGAACATTAGCCAGTGTTTTGTTTTCTGAAAAAAATGCAAAGGCATACTTTTCCATCAAAATACAGTCATTTTAAGAGATCTGCAGTTGAGCTGGCTATATTCATTTTATTCATAATGCTATTTTATTATGCTAATAAGTAACTGAAATTTTGATTAAATTAAATTTCAGCCTATACCATATTAACACATTACACGTCTTCCCAGCAAATGGAAATTTCCTTATGATGTTATCCGAAATAAAATAGATTATCAAATGTAAAATTATTCTCTATATACAAAGGTATTTTATAAGGAACACCAGGTTAAGTTTGTTTTTAAGACTGTATGATTACTATGAGAATGTATGTTAGGTTTTTTTGTTGTATTACAATAATTCGGGGACAGAGCTGCACAGAGACTTCTCATTCTGCCTTTTGTGTATATGAGGTTAAAGATAACAGCCATGGACGGCCATTTCATCCTAATTGGGGTTCATCAGCATGTCATAGCCAGTTTAAACCAGCGAGACAGACGCAATCACTGTGCTTCATAAGTCAAAGTGGGAGGGGACACATCAGGGGACACTGGGCACCCATTCTGTGCCAATTGTACAGGTGGAGAACCGGGAAATGGGTTTAGCAGTTGAATTAAGAAAACTTTAGGGAAGCTAGGTTGTCAGCTCGCTGTGGAGACTGGACACTATGGTTAACACCCTTACTCTTATGAACAGGATCATAGGATCTTTAATTTGCAAGTAGTCAGCACCTTGGTTCCATCAACTCATCTGAAAGAGAGCATCTCCTAAGGTGCAGTCTCTCTGGGTACCAGACTGGGGCGCTGGTTTAGAAATTGAGTGCCAGCAACACCTGCAGAAGCTACCTGGATTTCCCATCCCGGTATTGACCAGGCCCAATTTTCCTTAGCTTCTAGAGTCTGACGAGATCAGGCCACAGTTTTGTGTTTTAGCCTGGCTGTTTGTTATGGGATGGTCCTGGAACCACATTGAGACATCCGAATGCTTCCACTGACTCCGCACTGCCAATTTGTTCTGATCACTTGTTTTTATTTTGACGTCACATATTGGACTGTGTTTTCTGTTTGTGTGTGTTTCAGGACACAGACAATATTCCCATGAGTGTTCTGCTGATTGAAGCCTTCTATGGGGGCTCCCATAAGCAGCTGATCGACCTGCTCCAGGAGAATGTGAAAGACTGTGTCACCTATTCTTTACCAGCCAAGAAATGGCACTGGAGGGCAAGAACTGCTGCTCTGTATTTCATGCAGGCTGTTCCCCACAGCGTCACCTACAGGTCAGTACTGTGCTGACAGTTACTACAAGAACTGCTGTAGGATTTTAGGTCCAGTTCAGCGCTGACCTTTAGCTTCATAATTCTCCTCATTTTACTCTAAACCAAATTACTTCTGTTATATCATTAACAGTATCAGATATCACATGTTTTGACATTTCAAAGTAAGATTATATTTAGTATCTATATACATACAGATATGTTAAAATCTTTGAGTTTGTGGCGAGTAACTTTAATGATCTAATTGGAAACAGTACATGCTAATAACTGTAATTTTATAAAACAGCATGAATTGAGCATGAAATGATGATGATGAACAATATGTTTTTGAATGCAAATGTGGTGTTCTCCATGAACTCTGTGTGCCTCCCCCTTTCCCAGTGCTTGAATTTGATTCTGAATTGAAAGTCCATGTCCTTACGTTTCTGGGTTTAGCCGTACCAGTATGTGTGTTTATGCCAGTGCAGGATGGTGAAGACACCAGAAATAACTAACTGGCATTGCTGTATCTGGCAGCTGTGCCAGCTGTGTGTACAGACAGGGCTGATTCTAGATTCTCTTTGATCACTTTACTAGTAATTACTCACAGATAGACATGCATTAGGCCAGTGTTTTAAATCCTGGTTCTTGTGGGAGTCCCCAGAATAGCTTGGCATCACCAAGATAGCGTTGGTCATCTTATTCTAGCGATATCATGACAGCATGGCCCTAAGATCATGACGGAGAGGTTTGACTTTGCTGAGGGCATTGGCATAAAGTAGGGTGTAGGTGGAAGGTTAACATCTTCTACAGTCAACACTATAAAGTCATCTGGTTCTGTGTCACCAGTTCTGTGGGCTTCCTTTCATTTCTGACAGCCGCGAAGTGATGGTTTCTATATCTTCATGAGCCTCCTGTGTTATCAGCAAGAATACAGGGTCAATGTAAACAGGAACAGTAGGCTAGCTGGTGCTAGATGGTTAGTGGAAAAGTAGCTTTATATCAAATATGACAGGTTTATTTTCTAATTTTGTAAATTGCCTTGGGAAAATCCCTTGCCTGTAAAAGTTACTGACTCACTTTTTTGGTTTATAACAGAATTATTTGTCACTGTTGCTAAACTATTTTTTTGATGATTACATTTTTCCATGATGTCAGGAATGCTTATTTAATATATTAAGAAATTTTAATATTTCTAAATTATTTTTTTAAAACAATGTGAAAGGTTAGGTTTCAGTCTTTTTTTCCCAATTTATTTACATTTCAAGACTGACAATTTGCCACAGATGTAACCTGTTCTTAATCCATTAGCTTTCAGCCTTAACATAGGATTCTTAAAGTGAATATTCAAACATTTCTAACAGTTTTTTAATCTGAAGTGGCTTTAGTATAAATCTAATTTATTGTATGTGACATTTTATTGGTGTTATAAAATCAATAAAACATTTGTCAAATTTGTATAGCATTTTTTAAATATGTGCAGAAAGGTTCTAAAACACTCATATGATTTAATTGTAATCTTCTAAAAGTGAAATTGGGTAAAATAACAGATCAGACACATTATTACTGTTTTGAGATTATATCTTCATCATCATTTATGGTGCCAGCCAGCACTGCCTTTCCTTTGGCCTGGGTGACCTCTTATACTTGATACGTTGTGGATTGTAGAAGGGAATGGGGCAATCATTTCTTGTTTCACAGCACGCAGCTCAAAGCTTAGCTTCGTGAGCCATTGCAGTTACCCTAACTCACACAGGTTCAGGTTCTGAAGAGCTCAACTTGTTCATCCCTTGTTATTCTGCTAATTTGGGTGATTTAAGGAAAATTATGCACATTTCAATGTGGTCATAAACGATATTATTCATGCACAGGTGCTGTGCTAAGCTGCTTCAGAATGATAATTAAGCTAATCTTTTTTTCTCTTTTTGCCTTTCACACATTCACTTTGTTCAGTGATTTCTCCTGTGTCAATAATGTGCATGATTGCAGCCTCTCTCCCTATCCATTGTTCGATGCTTTTCAAAATGAAAACTCACTAGCAACTGAGACCAGATCTGTATTTTCCCTAGAGCTCCTTGGTGTTCTAAGAAATAGTTGCCAAGTCAAATTAAAGTAAAAAAGTTTGTGACTGATAAATATACTTAGAATTTTCCCCTGGGACTTAGTTTTTGAAGTTTAATTTTGCAAAATAGATCTTAATAAGTTCAGTCTGACTGCTGGAGTTTTTAAATCGTGGAAAAGTATGGATTTAAGATGTCAGTACATTTTAGTTCTATGACTGGACACATTTTACAGTGGCCCATATTTACTTTCAAAGCTATAGTTGTTCAGTCTAATCTACTATGTTTAATATATCGAGAGTTTTTTTTTTCCGAAAACGTGTACATCCAGAGAGCAAATTAGAAGCTAATATAAAGGTTATTTCTCCTTATGTTTCATGATACTGAAATGAATATTACCGTACCTGTTTAAATAAACTCAATTTTGGCTTCCCCTGTCTCAAAGATTTTCTGACTTGGCAGTGGAAGATATTTGGCAATGATATCTATAACAGAAGGCTGCATGGAGGTTTTAAATAATTGTCATTGAAGTAATTTAAGTTGTCATGTAAGATGTCATTTAGTCATGTAGGTGTCTCCATCAACAGCAACTTCATTTCTAAAGATAAAGAGAGTGTTTTGTCTCTTCAAAATGAAGTACAGTAGAGCAAGACAGAACTTTTCAGACCATACTGAGATGTTGATTACATATTAACTGTATGTTTTCAGGGGCTTTCTTCAATATCATTTGAAGAAAACAGTGGTAGGAGGGGGAAATCCCTGTATTTATGTTACTTTTTTCACCAATTAATGCAGAAGAAAAAAATAAAGAGAAGTGTCAGAGAGTGTGCCTCAGGTTCTGATGAAGCTGAGTTTATTTTGTATGGTTTCCTGGTAGTACCGCACAAAAGGGAGTAGCCTTGAAATGACTTTTGAAGCCCCCTTTTATGAAAGTGTTATACTGTACCTGGTCAAAAATAAATCCTATCCAGGGCAATGTTTTTGCTATTATCTGTGATAACAGTGGATAAAAAAGCTTTGAATTTTGTTCTCTCTTTTTATTAGTTTTAAGTGATATAGGATGAACCCAACCTAAAATATTTCAACATTTCTTTGACAAAATGTGTTGGACTACAAAGCTGTGCAAGTATACGTTTAATGTTTTGCTATATATAGTATATGGCTTTGCTTTTAGGCATGGAGTAACTTTTTATTTGAAGTAGCTTAATTAATTTTAAAACCAGCTCAGTTTACATTCATGAAATGTAAAAGAACCTACGCAATCACTGAGGTTAGAGAAAATGGTCAAATATTTTCATTTAGCCTCTAGAGCATAGGTCCTTGTTAAACTGTAATGTACCATCCTAATTGTCTTCTTACTTTACGTTACTGAGGATCTACATCTGAAAAACATTAAACAAAAACTGCAGCAGCCATCCTTTGAGAAACACATCAGATGATTCTACAAATGGCAAGGAAGGCATTTATTTTTTACTAATGAACACCTGCTACTGTAGAATCATGAATTGCAAGAGAAGGGCCAGCAGGAGCAAGCCATGACCTAAAAAAACAGTTATCTAACAATGATTACTGAAGCTGCTGTTGTGCTTTCCAAAAAGTTGATAGGTGGGCCGCTTACAGGAAACTGGGAAAGAGATGAATCTGAAAATTTTAAGCTCTACCCTCCCACACAGGCTTCTGCTTTGCAAGTTACATTCATACCTAAATGTCTGGCTCTGGTCAATATTAGTGTTTCTAAAAGAACCGCTAGAAAGTCAAATCGGTGGTATTTATTGGTACTCATCCAGCACAGATCACAAGTGTTATCTTGAAAATCTATTTAAATTGCTGTATACATTTGAGCTAAAGCACTAAAAAGCTTTGTCAAACCCCTGCTTTGAACATCACTGTTCAATAACAGAAAGAAACAACACATAATGAACAAGGGCACTTCTGAACCTCAGAAAAAAAGGAGAAGTGTACATCTTTTGTAGCTGATAATAACTACCAAAATGTCTACTTTTTTGTTAATTTAGGTTTCCAAATCATCTGTTAATATGTACATTTTGAGTGCTAAGTCCCTACTAAATTATGCCTCCTGAATTGTCTTGATAATATTTTGAAAGTGTTTTTTATCCCTTTTTTTATTTTGAAAATTTGTAATAATAACATTTTGATTCTTAATTTCAGCTCATTTTTAAAATAAAGGCACCAAAATTAATTCTTCACCCCTTACCTGATGATTCTGAGGTATCAGTAATTCATATTCCTACATAGATTCACCAAGCTGAATGAGTGGTAAAAGACCCATTAATCCGTATCAGTTGTCTGACTGTGTGTGAACTGAGACAGGTGGAGGAATCTTCTCCAAAGAGAAGATAATTGCTGCCAACAGAAGCAATGTTTGAAGTGAGAACAGTTTTTTTCCCATAAATTTGCACCAAGTCTTTTCTCTAAAGGAATACAATTCTTTCATACAACTTGCTGAACTGTATAACAGACCTTAAACAAAATGCCTTTCCCTAAATTCATATAATGGTAATTTCTTTATTGTGCAAACACCTGGTTTGTAGAAAAATTCAAACACAACCTTCTGATACCAGCCTGATGTTGAGTTTCTTTCTTCTGTGCCAATGGATTTTTCCCTTATTGAATCAGGTTTGCTGTATAATTTAGTGAAAATGCGTACTGGAGTGCAGCTTGTTGCTTTCCATGGCTGTTAATTTTGTTTTAACCAGGACCAAACTGTTAAATGATATCGGGAAACAACAAAACACAGTTGTTTGAATGCGAGAACATTTGAGAATAATCTAATGATACAATATGGATCAGCATGCACAATGATTAATAGAATCGTAAATGGGGTGTTTAACCATGACATTACGTTTTGCGAATGTGGTGTGTGGTTTGAAAATGAATGCAACTCGTACGTACATCTAACACAACTCTTAATTTCCTTTATACTGTAGCTGTGCTTTTTGATGT